CAGTCGATTTGTTCGCATGTTATATTATTTTCATGGATATGTCGGATATCGACTATTCAGTCGATAGCCTCATTGAATCGGCTATTTAGCCGTACATTTGGAACTATTTGGTGTAACACCGACATGTTCCACCTTAAATTACTGATAAGATTTTCTCTTCTTGTCAATTGCAGGTCAAATTCATTGGCACGTCATTGGGTTTTCAGAATCGACTGGTTCTGTGTTGAAGCCAAGTAGATCTCTGGTCTCGTTCCACTCAGGTCTTCTGACTTGCTATGTGTTGATCACATCGTCACATTTTTGTGTCAACACTTCCATAGGAGACAGACAAAGATTAAGAGGAGTACAATTACAATAGTTTTGAAGGACAAAGAGGGTGGAGCAGTTGTTGGGTTTTGAAGATACAAGTCATCATCATGAGCTAAGGCTAGATTTGAGTTAGTTCTTGACTTGAAGGCAGCTATTCCTTCTTCATAGGAGTTGTACTTTTTATAACAAGCACTATGAAACCTATGAACTTGTCTATGGCAGTCAGGCCAGTTGTAGTAAGTTCTTGGCTCATGGCCATTGAACGCAACATAGCAGGGACAACTCATCTCAAATCTGCACAACCCGAACAGGCTGCCTCAGTTTTCACAAGTAGAATGTTAGTGAACAAGTGGTAGTGATCATCATTGGCATCAGTAGCAACATGTGCAGCTTAGACATTAGTGGCCTCAGTCATGTGAATGATGGACACAAAGCATTGATTTGCTTTCGATGCCTTCATCTTGTTTGGAACCATATGGATATATTGGTTGTCAATAAGGAAAAGACACAGAAAGCAAACATATGAGCTGCATCCTAATACATCCAACAGCCTTGTAGACATCATTGGCATAGAAATGTGGCCTCAAATATGTTATAAGTTCAAAATACCATAAGGACTCACTGGTGGCACTAGAGCATATGAAACAAAAATGTAGAATCAAGCAAGCACTGGATAGAAAAAATAGTTCAAGACAGAAGCGAAGGGCCTGTTTGTTTACCTAGACAGATCTGCAAGTGACACGCGCCAGTAGAAAACCAACCAGTGCCACCTCCTAGTTCTTTTCATCATCATTGGCCTAACCAGAACTAAAATGCTACAATGTTTCTTGTATACCTCATGTTCAAGCAAGGACCAAAATAGTGAAGCGAACAGGAAAAGGCGAGAAAGGAGACCTATGGCTCGGATCTATCACCTCTGCTGCAGCACATGACGGGCATGGATGCCAATGCCACGGTCCACCGGGAGACCCACCGCCTAGCCTCCAAAAGGACACCTGAGCCACCACAGCACACTAGGGATCCTTTGTTACTGCCGCCGCCACAAGTCCAATGGGCATAGATTTGTTTCCACTTGTCGGGGATATATCCAATATATAAGTCAACCTATCCACATAGAGAACATATACTATTCCAAAGACATGTCAACACAACCAGGTGTCTAGCACAATGGTGAAGACGGTCTATTCCTTGCTCTGGGTCATGGTTCGACTCCCAGGTCTTATGATTTTTTAGTTTGAATTTATTAAACCCTGGTGGCAACAAGTGACACGCAAGCTATCGGGTCCCACATGTCAGATGGAGATGGAGAAAGGTCCTATAGGTACACGTGACACATAAGCCGTTAGGTCCCGCAGGTTAGATAGAGAAAGGGTCCACAAGTGACATGCAAGCCGTCGGGTCCCACAGGTCAGATGGAGAAAGGGTCCACAAGTGACACGCAAGTCATCGGGTCCCATAGGTCGAATGGAGATGGAGAAGGGTCCTATAGGTATACGTGACACGTAAGCCATCGGGTCCCACAGGTCGGATGGAGATGGAGAAAGGTGTCGTCGAGTCCCACAAGTCAGAGACGTAACACGCAAGCCGTCGGGTCCCATAGGTCGGATGGAGATGGAGATGGAGAAAGGTGCCATCGGGTCCCACAAGTTGGATGGAGAAGGGTCCACAAGCACAAGTGACACACAAGCCGCTGGGTCCCATAGATCGGATGGAGATGGAGAAAGGCCCCACAAGTACACGTGACATGTAAGCCGTCGGATCCCATAGGTCGGATGGAAAAGGGTCCCACAGGTACACATCGAATGGAGAAAGGATCGAGCGGAGACTTCTATGACGAATTGCAAGCGTCACGGATGAGTAACTGCAAGTCCCATAGGTACACGTCGGATGGAGAAAGTGCCGTATGGAGATCTATGACGAAGCGCCGTCGTTATAGATCGAATATTGTTTGTCACAGATCAATAATTAGTTCAATGACGAAGCCCTATTCGTCATAGTTCTGAATAAGATCATCACAGATGAGTAGGAATAGTCACGCGAGTGATCTGTAATGAAACCCTGTGCTGTTCTATGATGTTTTTTGTGGCAATACCCGATTTCATCATAGATAAAGGGGGTTCGAGGATCGTCACCGATGATCTATGATGAAACCAAAATTTTCTTCATAAAAAGCAATTTTTATGACAGTTTTGGATTTGTCATTAAGATTTTCATCATAGAAATGGATATTTCTAGTAGTGGTCCTACCACTCTCCCGAGCATAAGAGTTGTATCCGGTTTTACTAAGAACGATGGTACATGATGATTAATACTGATTGATAGCAAACACGTATAGATGTAGTAGGGTAGCGAGAGCCCGCCAGTTTTTCATTAAATAGGCATGAGATAACAGTTCTAATTAGTTTACTACCCCATATGTGATACGAACACAACCTGTGTTTGTACGAGTTAAAATTGCATGCATTCAGCCATGGTATAAAGTCTGATTCTAAAGCGTATTAAAGCAATGATGCAAAATATATGTTCTGTCCTGACGCATGGGTATATTTGCTAATATATGCATATAACATGGTGCAAAGGGATAACAAATGACAGAAAATCAAAATAGGGTAAGTGAGGCAAGACAGTGATGTGCCCACAATATGATGTGATCGAGAAAGAGAAATCCTTGGGGTTTTAGGAAGTTCAAAATTAAGGGAAATTAGAGTGAGTAGACCTGAAAACCTGCTATGATCATGCTAATCAGATCAAGGCAAATATATGCATGGTTTATTCGACACTGACCTCATTGGTATGAGTATGGGAGAAGGAGAAGAAACATGCATGGCATCTTAGTATCTTATAGAGCTAATAACGATCTTACAGCAATACAAGGATAGTATTATACTCCCTCTATCCTGAAATATAAGGAATTGAGAGTTCAAAAGTACCAAAATATAAGGTATTTTAGGTGAACAAACGATCCAAAAGGCAATATTTACATACATATCTACCATTAATGTCTATCACCAACCTAAATATAGTAATTAGGGAGGTTATATGTGTCATTTATCTTAGCACATAATATGTCCTAAAGTTACATGGATACCTTATATATATATTAGGACGGAGGGAGTAGTTTACTAAACGAGTGGCACCCTAAAGATACCGAGACTTGTAAACTAAACGTAACTCAACTTATAGGTTAATTAGGTTGTTTTGATACGATGTGTTCATTTGAATTCGAGTTTTTAACTAAACACATGGTGGTTGTACTTTTGGATAGGGGAAATTTTGCTCAAGGACATCATCCTTATATGTAATATGCTGATACACACTGCTAACGCCATGTTTGTTTCAGCTTCCTGAGAGCTTTTGGACCTCAGCTTTGGACCTTCCAAAAGCCAAAAAGCTCCACCAAGCTTTCTGAAACGCAATAGTTAGAGCAAAGTGTTCACATATGGTGTGGAGTTTGATCTCAAAATAAACTGAAACGCAATAGTATAAATCACTAAACCTCGCATAACCATAGAATTAGAGCAGCTAGACAAATTAAAACCTTTAAACCGCAAATCATCGAGAGGTAAGCGCACAAGAAGTTAAATGTTTCATTGCAAAACAAGGATATATTTGTGTTGATGTCGATTCAGGTCTCACCCCAGCAAGGGCTAGCACGCCCGAGGCCACGCGCTGCCTAGCACACAACGGGGGCTTGGGAGGGTTCCAAACAGCAAATACAGCCAGCAAGCTGGCCGTGCGACATAGACACCCATTCTTTAGTCAAAAAGGTTGTGAACATCTCCCGAGAAGACCCGTTGGGGAGGGGGTACAACGAGGTTGTTCTAGGGCCGGCAAGACACCTAGAACGTGAGCACACCCTATCGAGAGATGCACTAAAAATAGGGATTGGAAAAAGCTAAAGGTAGAAGAAGAGAGTAGTAGATTGGTTTTTTGTCGATTGTGTGTGGTTAACCTTAATCGGCTATGACCCTCTAATATATAGAGGGGTGATCTTATTCTAGTAGAGGAACCTTCCAAAGTTACAATCTATAGGTTTCCTACGAGATTTGAGAAGTTTGGATCAAATTTTGGATGAATTGGACTTGGACTGTGAAACTTGGACTCGCTGGTTTGGTTTGTTTTCAACCGGTGAATAGTAAAACCAGCCTGAACGGTTCCTCGCCGATTTTGACCGGATCTCGCTAAATTTTATCAAGTTGTCTAATTTGATCTTTTTGCTTGCAGTTTTCCTAAAGGTAAGATGCCTGAGTTCTCAGGTGATACCTTATCCATTCATGCCTTGATTTTTCCTCCGTCTAGCTAAATCTCAGTCTTACATGCTCATGAGCCAAAGGTGAAGATTGTTGCCTGAACACATAATATATTTCAGGCACTTAAAATATATCTAGTTTCTTTTGCTTGTGTTTGATTTTTTTTTAGTCAGAGGAAAAAAGAAACCGCTGTACTTTTGAAAAAAAAAAACCGATGATTGCAATCGAGAGAGAAAGCACTGATAATCCTTTTTTATATAAGTAGTACAGATAATGCCAAGATGGCTTATTGAAGTCTGGACCCCGAATTAAACAAGATCACAAGAGCATGTCTGCATGCTAGGAGGTTCTATACACTACAGTAATTTCATTATTATTGCTTAATTACACGTTGCTCCAAGCACGCAATTGCTGTCGCCGATAACTACGTCCAGCTGGTTCTCAGTCGGCCGACGCGAAGGATACGAGCTCGCGGGTGTTGGTCCACGACTGCTCGTACACGAAGGCCCCGTACGCGGCCAGCTTCCCGTCGGCGTCCGTGGCGTCGAGGACGAGCCGGTAGTTCATCCCGGACACCACCTGCTGCTCCCCGCTCGTCACCTCGCCGAACCTCAGCCCGTCGTTGGCCAGCCTGACGTGCTCCGTCACCGCCCAGCCGCCCAGCTCCTGGATGTGCGGGTCGCTCACGTTCCTGATCGGGAACCACCCGCCGGCGAGCGGCCGTGCAGGGGCCCCCGCACGCGCCGCGGTGGCAGCGGCGGCAGCGACGAGCAGGAGCAGCGTCGGGAGAAGAGCTCTCGCGGACATGGTTTGGGATGAGGTGCTGCCGTGCGGGGAGGAGGAGGACATATCGGGGCGAACGAAGCGGGACGCTGGGATTTATTGGCGTGGTCATCAGGCGTGGGAGCTGAAATCGACAAGGGCTGTCGGCTGGCGTGGCGTGATCAGCAGGGCCATCTGGGGGAGGGGAGAACCCTGGGTTGGTTTCGGCCGGCACCTCGTGACTTCTTGCATGGCTGTATGCCTGAATCTGTGGTCTGTGCCATATTTATGTTCTGCGTATGTCTATCCGGCGTAGGGGATTGACTTTTGTCGCGTTTCTGGGTTCGAATTTTCAGGGAAAAAGGTGAGGTTTTGTGTCACTGCCGTTGATCGCCCGCGATGCACATAAGGACATTTGTTAGATTACGTAGAATCATCTAGCTCAAGATACACAACATGAGATGGATTGATAAACATACCTTCTCCGGATAAGCTTGTTATATAATATATTCGTTCTAAACTGTAAATCGTAGCTTTTACTATAGTAAAAAAAAAATCAAAACGATCTACATTTTGGAATGGAGGAGCGAGTATTATTCTCCTCTTCTAAAGCTTCTGTAGAGTGCGTATGTCTCTATCCGGCGATTCGTAGAGGATTGACTTCTGTGTCGCGTTTGTTGGTTTGAAGTTCAGGAAAAATGTTGACGTTCAGTCACACTGTCTTTGACCACCCACGATGCATGAGGCTATTAACTTATGAGAAATAAGGTGGTGATGGATAACATGTTATTTTGACGAACCAAACAAAAAAGTGAGGATTATGGACCAAACAAAAAAGTGAGAGCAAGTCTAAGAGACTCTTTACATTTTTTAATTTATAGAAATAGAAATTTTAGTGAAAAATACGGGAGGGGTGTGAGCGGTCCATGCGAACGACGTTCGGCGTGGGCCCCCACGTGGGCGCGGGCAACACAGGGCGGTTGAGCGACATCTGAACGGTGTAGGCCCACGCGTGATGCGTAAAATGGAGGGTGAAAACCGACTGCAGCCACGGGCTTTCGTATGTCCGGGCGCTAGCCGTGCCGACTAGTCAGACACCATGGCTACGAGAGATATCAATGTATGTGTCAGTGTCACGTAGAGATGGGTGCTATCGATGTGCATTTCAAGCACATTTCTCTACTATCTACGTATTTGTCAGAAAATGCAAGCTAGTAGGCTTTTTTTTCGGTAGGCTGGAATCCAAATCTGACATCAACGTCATATGCTGAGTCAATCTTTTGAGCTAAAAAAAAAGTGGTTGGGCTGGTCTAAACATTACCATTAGTCCAACACAGCATCCGGGCGCGTGCGGTTGGGCCGGCGCACGTGTGGTGCACAACAACTTTGGACCCCGTTCGCTGGTCTGAAACTTGGCTAAAACTGGCTGGTTGTGTGTGAGAGAAACACTATAGCGGCTGGTTGATGAACAGTGTTTTGTGAGGAGGAGCAACCGCTGGTCTGAAAAAACCAGACCAGCGAACGCGCCCTTGCTGTCAACCGTGAAACATAGTCATTCGAGATTAGTTTTGCTTATACTACTTACTTAACACACCTAACCCAGACATGCAACATAGTTTGGAATCAATGGATCCATCAAGTTCGTCTGCATCATCCGAGCCAAGCCCCGTTGTGCTGGCAATGAGCTAGTGAAGGTGTGAACTCTGGACCTGGAACACAAGCTGTGGAACGAAGATAAGGTTTTGACCTGCCCTTGGGAAGAGCTCTGGAAGAAGGCCTGCCTTATGAATGATGGGTTGAGGGACAATCAGCCCCTAGAGCCCCAGTACCCTGTTCTGATGCCGGATGGTGCCCTCTGCCTCCTGCTGCCTAAAAGACACCGCGGAAAGTTGGGTATCTGTGTCCAGAGGCCTGATTACATTTGCAGCCTTTTTTTTTGGGAAAAACATTTGCAGCTTTGATACGTTCAACAGGAGTTGTCTGTGGTTTGGACTAGTTCGCAGCTACAATGCACTTAATCCTCCTGTTATCTTGCCTTACAATTTCTTCAAGAATTGCTACCCGGCTCCAAAGAGGAAGCAACCAACACACAAGAGGAAGCTGCCAAGCATCGACAAGCAGATGCTGATGTCCAGCCCTGCACAGTAAGAGGGAGAGGACTAGTGCCTAATAGAACGAAAATGTGACGACATTACTCATTTTTTAGTTGTGGCTTTACTCATTTGGAATGATAGAATCTGTATTACAAATGGGTTATAGTGTCTGGGTTATGAATTATAATGATCTAAGTTGTTTTTATCCTTGGGTTACATGATTTGTGGTCTTTTGAGCACCTATAATCTCCCGTTGGTAGGTTTGAGGTGGATTATAGGATTACAACAATAAGTTAGTTGCATTATTATAATCAAACTAAACCGTGTTTAGATAACCTAAAAAATATTTTATCTAATTACTACCCTTGGATCTAACCGGACCCTAATATCATTGCTAACCTCTAGTATAGGGCCTGTTTGGCACAACTCACAATGTGACCTGTTTTTTTTTTTTTGCCAAACACTATTTTTCAAAACAATTTCATGGGTGAAGTTGTTTTTCTTCTCCTCTCACAAAGGGATGAGTTAGGATGAAGCTGAAAAATGTAGCTTGTCCCACCTTCATCTGCCACTTTGTGGGCCCTACCATGTGTAAAGACTAGCTTTGCCCCGGGTCGCACGTCCTGTTGCTCGTTGTAGCCGTCACAGGCCGCCGCCGCCCTGCACGTGGCCAACACCCGCCTAGCCACCTCTGGCGAGGTTGTTGCGGCCGGACTCGAGCCCGCACAGGATGGGCGCTGCTCGTAGGCCTACCAGCAACCGCTGACGAAGCCTCCCTGGCCGGCATTGGCCGTCGTCCAGGTGCTGTGTGTGTGCTCCTAGGACAACCGCGGCCGCTTGAGTAGGCATGCGTAAGCGCAACCACCGAGATGCACTTCTGGTGGGGCGCGGGCGCGGCCATTGAGCGCCGGGGATGTGGGCATCGCCGTGGGGAGGTGCGGAGCTGGAGCGCGAGACCGGGCCACAACCGCTGCGAGCGCGGAGCCTGGGCGTGGTGCCGGGCACGCCGTCGCCAGGGGACACAACCTGCTGGGTGGCGCGACCATTGTTGATGGTAGTTATCATCTATCAAGAACCGTTAACGTAACTAAAATAAATGCATGGAAATGATCACTAACATAAACTTAGGGGTTTAAACTGACAATCTCCACGAGTTTTGGTAAATCTGTATTTTCAGCAGGGTTTATCCAGAAAACCGTCAAAGTGGATCAAATCGTCAAATTAAATCGCAATTATCCACGATGGAAATAGCACTAGAAGGTTCCAGAAATCACTAGAAGCCATCCCCCCGAAGCAGACTTTGGGAGGATGACAAGTGGGGCCAGCCGGCCCCCTGTCCCCACATGTCAGCCCCAGCTTCGAACGTCGATTCTCCATCGCCTCCTAGATTGCATTTACGTCGTTCTTTCAAGTCGGTTTGATCCAAGGGTCCAGAATTGATGCTCCATCCTATATATATCAGCTCCTGGCCCCCTCCCTAAGGCATCTATCTTCAATTCAATTATCAGATCAGAAATTAGAGTATCGAGAGAAAAGAGAATAAACCTCCAATTCTTCAAGTTCTAGTATAGGCTAGCTAGTAAGGTTCAAGTAGAGTTGGGCTTTCACTCAGGATTCTGGATTCTCCGTCTAGAGGTTGGTAAAGCCATTGTATCCCACTATATTTTATGACTTTATGCTACTTTAATACTATGTTTCTATTTATTATGTTCCTAGTTTGATTTGGTAGTATACTTTGATATAGTCATGATTGATAATGAATTTATGCATATGTTCGCAAAGCGCTTAGCTCAATACTCGAGTGAGTTAAGTGGTCAACATTATGTAAGCGTAGTGCTTAAATATTGTTTACCTACGGATGCACTCTACACTCCGGGCCATATAGTAGATCACGAGTGTGACAGTTTCATTGAGTCCTTTGTAGTTCACTCCCCGTTTGTAGAACAAGTAGAACCCAGTTGCGAAGGAAATCAAGCTCTGTTCTTGATCTTCCTTAGTAATATTCCTTATGCATAGATACAAAGTTAGTTATGCTATAGATGAAAGTGTATATACTAGAGTGTACAAAAGACTTAGTAAATAAGAAATGACTTAGGAATCTTTTCTCTTAATTAATCTTCTGCCTAGCCATACTATATTTATGAGTATCTATTTCTATCTCTAAAATATTATTAATGTCTTACACTTATCATTTATTTATTATTTGGCTTACCCCTGTTAAAGCATGAGAGTTGAGTTAATGATCTTATCATAAGTATATATATTTGTCAATAACTCTAGCCACCCCATCGCTCCTCCCTGTGGAAAATATAAATAACGATACCTGGTATACTCCCGGGTGAAATTCTACAATGGTATATTATCTGTGCGCTTGCGAATACTTAATATATATAAATTTACAAGTGTTCTCAATAATTACCAACAACGCATTTCTGACATCATTGCTAGGAATGACAACTTAGTAAAAGAGTAATGCTAAGAAATGTCAACAAGCATTTCTAATGCCGTTGCCGGGGAGGGGCACAATGCTAAGAGAATTGATCAAATAAATACTTATTGATAAAATCATAACTAAGCACCTTTACTTTAGCAGGCTTACCCTTGTTTATCTTTGTTCATATCTTATACAGGGCATTGCAGGATTGGTTGTGATTCACCAACAATCTCCATCAATCAGAATCAAAATTAATCAAGAGGAAGCTTAACACCAGTTTCTGAAGCTATGGCTCGCAAGACACTACAAGAATTCTCTGCTCCAAGCACTGAGAACATTCGCACTGGACCAACACTCAAAACCAACAACCTTGAGTTTGAGCTCAAGCCAAGTCTCATCAACATGGTGCAAGCTACCCCATTCAGCGGAAAAGCGCATGAAGATGCTAGTGCTCATCTCTAGAATTTCCTAAAGATTAGTAGCACAATCGTTATAAAGGACGTTGCTCAAGATATCATACTACTACTCCTCTTTCTATTCTCACTAGTGGGAAAGGCGAA